CAACTATATTTTGTAAATCTAACTAGATCATATTGGAAACAATGATACACGATTTATTCAAGATACATTTAATAACTTGTGCTTCAAACTCTCGTTTCCATTCTATGTGATTTGTTCTGTTCTTTAGTTAGAGCTCCAGACGTTCAGTAATATTTAAGTGAAAATCTGCTTTCAAGTAGCATTTCTGTTTACTTAAGCAAAGCTATCCTTGACAATCGATAGTTGAATGAATGATTACGATAGCCATTGCCTTGAAAATATGCTAGTAACTTATTGCTACCGAGTTCAAAGCTATCGCAATACATTAATAACTAGAACAATTGTTACACCACTAATCCTTACCACTTTATCTGATACCCTCACCACTATATATACTCTCACCACTATATATGATACCCTCACCACTATATATGATATCCTCACCACTATATATATACCCTCACCACTATATATACCCTCACCACTCCCTCAGTATATTTGATATGATACTTTCTCCACTATATATGATATGCCCTCACCACTCCCCCAGTATATTTAATATGATACTTTCTCCACTTTGTAGGATATGATGCCCTCACCACTCCCCCAGTATATTTAATATGATACTTTCTCCACTATATATGATATGCCCTCACCACTCCCCCAGTATATTTAATATGATACTTTCTCCACTATATATGATATGCCCTCACCACTCCCCCAGTATATTTAATATGATACTTTCTCCACTATATATGATATGCCCTCACCACTCCCCCAGTATATTTAATATGATACTTTCTCCACTATATATGATATGCCATCAGCACTCCCCCAGAATATTTAATATGATACTTTCTCCACTATATATGATATGCCCTCACCACTCTTTCCCCATATATATTTAATATGATACTTTCTCCACTATATATGATATGCCCTCACCACTCCCCCAGTATATTTAATATGATACTTTCTCAACTATATATGATATGCCCTCACCACTCCCCCAGTATATTCAATATGATACTTTCTCCGCTATGTAGAATATCATGCCCTTACCACTCCCCCAGTATATTCAATATGATACTTTCTCCACTATGTTGAATATAATGCCCTCACCACTCCCCCAGTATATTTAATATGATACTTTCTCCACTTTGTAGGATATATGCCCTCACCACTCCCCCAGTATATTTAATATGATACTTTCTCCACTATATATGATATGCCCTCACCACTCCCCCAGTATATTTAATATGATACTTTCTCCACTATATATGATATGCCCTCATCACTCCCCCAGTATATTTAATATGATACTTTCTCCACTTTGTATGATATGCCCTCACCACTCCCCCAGTATATTTAATATGATACTTTCTCCACTATATATGATATGCACTCACCACTCCCCCAGTATATTTAATATGATACTTTCTCAACTATATATGATATGCCCTCACCACTCCCCCAGTATATTCAATATGATACTTTCTCCACTATGTAGAATATCATGCCCTTACCACTCCCCCAGTATATTCAATATGATACTTTCTCCACTATGTTGAATATAATGCCCTCACCACTCCCCCAGTATATTTAATATGATACTTTCTCCACTATATATGATATGCCCTCACCACTCCCCCAGTATATTTAATATGATACTTTCTCAACTATATATGATATGCCCTCACCACTCCCTCAGTATTTTTAATATGATACTTTCTCCACTATGTATGATATGCCCTCACAACTCCCCCAGTATATTCAATATGATACTTTCTCCACTATGTAGAATATCATGCCCTTACCACTCCCCCAGTATATTCAATATGATACTTTCTCCACTATGTATGATATAATGCCCTCACCACTCCCCTCGTATATTCAATATGATACTTTCTCCACTATGTAGAATATAATGCCCTCACCACTTCCCAAGTATATTTGATATGATACTTTCTCTGCTATGTTGGATATGATGCCCTCACCACTTCCCCAGTATATTCAATATGATACTTTCTCCACTATGTAGAATATAATGCCCTCACCACTTCCCAAGTATATTTAATATGATACTTTCTCTGCTATGTTGGATATGATGCCCTCACCACTACCCGGTATATTTAATATACTTTCTCTGCTATGTTGAATATGATGCCCTCACCACTACCCGGTATATTTAATATGATACTTTCTCTGCTATGTTGGATACAATGCCCTCACCACTACACTGGTATATTTAATATGATACTTTCTCTGCTATGTTGGATATAATGCCCTCACCACTACACTGGTATATTTAATATGATACTTTCTCTGCTATGTTGGATATAATGCCCTCACCACTACCCGGTATATTTAATATGATACTTTCTCTGCTATGTTGGATATAATGCCCTCACCACTACCCGGTATATTTAATATGATACTTTCTCTGCTATGTTGGATATGATGTCCTCACCGCTTTATACAATATCATGTCCAAGCCACTACATATGATGTGATGTCCTTTCCACTATATGAGTCTAAGCCCCCACCTCCCTCTATCTTTTCCCAGCTTTGAAACCAGTGCAATAAGAGTACAAGGACAGCTAATTTTAGGTTTGGGTTGCTACTGACACCATACTGACAAGTTCATGCAAATTTAATTGGTCTTGTTTTGTTAGGCTCCAGTTAAGTTTTCAGGTAAACAATCAATCTTACATTTTCCCACACATATCCCTAACCGGTTAGCATTGTGTGATGATGACAAGCTCCAACCCTAAACACCCTTCTCCAATATCCATAGAAAAGTGAAAAGCCACTGAAGACATTTACACAAACATTCAGCTTCTGCATGGCATTGTTGTCCTTGAGCTGGCACCCACCCGAATAACACCCTTAACCATAGGAATGACTCCTCAACATTACAAAAGCTAAACATGTTTTCATTTAGCCTATTTTACACATTCCCAATCAATTTGTTGCTATGTAATGAACACAGCAGGATGTATAATTTGTTTAACAAGAATATTAACCTGGACGAACAGGAAAAGCCATCAGTATTGTGACTACATTTGCAGGCTCATATCTAGAGTACAGATGATTTGATACCATGCAGGCAGAAAGTTGTGAAACAAGTCAGCAAACGAATGCAGGAGCAAGACCCCAGCATTTCCTTTCAAGATCTGTATCCATGAATGTTCTTGGTTAATTTGACAGGAGAAGAAACAAATTCAGGAACAAGCAACATCAGTACAGATAACTGAGTTTTACCTGACAATCTCAAAAAAATCCTACTTCAGGAATCTATTGGTAACAAAAAGTCATGACAAACTCAGAAAATACCCGACAGGAAAAAGACTACCCAACATCAGAATTACTCTCTAAGAAGATGACACAGATGTAGAAAATAAAGATGAAATAATTTGATCACATTAACATTACTAAGAATAATGCATTTGTTTCCAGTATAAGTAAGACAGCACCTTACTAACATAAGTTTGTGAAGATAAAGAAATTTATGATCACAGAATTATTCTTGTGGGAATATTAGAATGACATCCTCCTTGTGGGGATACTGTATACATTTGTACTGTACAACATTACAGATCTGTTATTAGTGTTGCCATACTCAGATCTCATTGTGGGGATACTATATACATTTGTACTGTACAACATTACAGATCTGTTATTAGTGTTGCCATACTCAGATCTCATTGTGGGGATACTATATACATTTGTACTGTACAACATTACAGATCTGTTATTAGTGTTGCCATACTCAGATCTCATTGTGGGGATACTATATACATTTGTACTGTACAACATTACAGATCTGTTATTAGTGTTGCCATACTCAGATCTCATTGTCCACGGGAATACTATATACATGTTTTTAGGGATGTCATACTTTAGCAATACTAGGACTTGTACTGTATTCAGTTACGATGTAATTCTCTTTGTTGTTATGGATTATCTCAAAACGATCTTTGTGAAAATAACAGGGACTGGTCACCAGAATTATAAAATAGATGTGATTTACGTGAGTAATACCTGTACATTGCTGTTGGACTATTTAAGGCTATACTTAATGTGATCCCATTTTCATCTCTGATAGACTTTGACACTAGGCATTTGTCTTAATTGTGTGGAGTTCAGTATCAGTAAGTATTTAATTGACAGCTTTCCCTGACAGCACCTCCCATCAAAGCTGTTGACACAAGCCATTATTTATCTCTCCTGGTCTATTTAATAGAACTTAATATTCTCTTGTTTCTTTTAAAATGTCATGAAAAATAAGTACCCAGCTACATTTTACTTCACATTGAGATCATAATGTGATTTATTCTGTAAACTTATCACATTTTACTCTCTTAGTTTAAAGTTAAAGGACAATACATGCTGAAGTCATTGTACATCTATCTCACAAGTCCTAGATTGTGAAACCAAAATCTTTAGGAGGGAGGTAGATAAATGGAGATGTGGCTGTCTAATGGGCCAGGGACAGAGGTAGGGTGATCTTCGCTTTATTAAATGGAGATGTGGCTGTCTGTTAGGCCATGTGGGGACAGGGGTAGGTTTAGGGGCTGGGTTAGGGATAGTCTTACCATGGGTACAGGGACGTGTGGTTGACTGTTTGGCCATGTGGGGACAGTGGGTGAGTGAAGGGGCTGGGTTAGGGATAGTCTTACCTTGCGTACAGGGACGTGTGGTTGTCTGTTTGGCCATGTGTGGACAGTGGGTGAGTGAAGGGGCTGGGTCAGGGATGTCTTACCTTGGGTACAGGGACATGTGGCTGACTGTTTAGCTGTGTATAGCTGACAGGGGTACATGTAAGGGCTGGGTTAGGGATAGTCTTACCTTGGGTACAGGGACATGTGGCTGACTGTATAGCTGTGTATAGCTGACAGGGGTTCGTGTAAGGGCTGGGTTAGGGATAGTCTTACCTTGGGTACAGGGACATGTGGCTGACTGTAGCCGTGTAAAGTTGACAGGGGTTTGTGTAGGGGCTGGGTTAGGGATAGTCTTACCTTGGGTACAGGGACATGTGGCTGTCTGACGGGCCACTCGCTTGTGCTTCTCTGATAAACTGTCAAAATGCTACAAATACAAGAGAGAGGGGTTACCTACACATCAGACTAAACAGGAAACAACTCTATCTCTATAGCTACTCTACATACACTTTTTATCCCCCAAAAAAATCCAAATTGATGCCAGATACTAACAGCAAAACATCAACATATTGTTTATTTTTTTCCATAACACCACATTCCATCAATTTTTTGCCCGTGATTTCAATATCGGCCTTTACTGATATGGTGCATGCCTTAAGCTTTAGATACAATATCCTACACGAGTTTTCTTATAAACAGAAAATTCGACCGTAAACCCACACATAAGATACATGTCTGCGGGATATCAGCTGGACAGACTCTGCATTCAGTGGGGAGGATTCGTGAACGAAAAACCTCTCGACAACAGATACACGACTAGTCCTTAATTGATACTTCACCGGAGTTGTAAACACGTGTTATTCGTCGTGAAATATCATAAGGGATTTTTTTAAAAAATAGTTATTACTTTGTAAATGCTTTAATTTACTTACCTTTTTAATTTCTATTTCCACTCTTTCTTTCACAATATTTTCAATATTTCTCTCGTAATTAATGTGATCCTCTTCGAGCTTAATAACCCGAGTTTGAAGAAGGACGAGAGTTTGATGATAAGAACACAGACTCCATATCAAGGAGCCCAACACGGCTGCCATAAAACACGATAGGCCTATAACAAAAGCATTGTACCGCGAGCACTTTGATTTCTTTTTAACTCCATCCGTCCTGTGTTTCTCCATTTTGGAAATAATTTTAAATCCCTGAAAGCCAAAGCGAAAGTGGCAGGTAAATAGTCGTTACGTCATGTGTGACAGGTAGCGCGGAGGAGCACGTGTGTACGCAGTGTTGTCAGTATCATCACTGACGAGTGTATCTACAGGAGCGCGCCGTCAGTAGGGCAGTTCCACGGTAAGGCTGGCCTTCCATCCTCGCATCGCTTAACACGGGTACCGGCCTACCTGCCGGGTCCAGTTGTACCTGGCAACGGGTCGGCGATATCAAATTGAACCATCTCATTTTTTTTTTAGTTAGAAATTATTTCGTTGCCATTTTATGGTAACTATTAACACGAGTTTGCACGTCTCCTAATAGTTACATCGAGTTAGACATATCATATATCCAAGTATATTATAAGTGTTCCATAACATATGCAACACATGCACGGTTTTTGACCCACTTTTGGGGGGAATTTACGGAATCTAGATTGTATTTCCATTTGGATGAGGAGTGTGGGACGATAGACGTCAAAGAATACATAACTCACTGTTATTGTTTTCTTTTGGCAAATGCCGCTACTATTTGTTGTGGGACAACATACAGTTACAGCGCGGACGTACCGCAGACAACATTAAACATACACTATAGTACTTTAGGGTAGATAATACAGCAGACCCGAATACAGCAATACATACACATCACGTGCAAAGAACCACTGGCTAGTACAGGGGTTACAGCTTGGATGGTTACAGCGCGGACGTACTGCACATACCAGAACAGATAACAAGGTACAGCGATTACAGTGTTCGTATCGCAGACAAAAGGAAACGCATATCACACTGGGTATAATAGAAGTTACAGCACAGTACACACCAGAGGTTACAGCACAGAAATACCGCATACAGCAGTACACCCAAAACCTTACAGCGCAGAAACACCACATACAGTAGTACACACCAGAGCTTACGGCGCGGACATACCATATACTGCAGTACACACCAGAGTTTACAGCGCGGAACTACCGCATACAGCAGTACACGTCAGAGCTTACAGCGCGGACATATCACTACAGCAGTACACACCGGAGCTTACAGCGCGGAAATACTGCACACAACAGTACAAACAAGAGCTTACAGCACAGAAATGCCGCATACAGCAGTACAAACAAGAGCTAACAGCACAGAAATGCCGCATACAGCAGTACACACCAGAACTTACAGCGCAGAAATACCACATACAGCAATACACACCAGAGCTTACAACACAGAAATTCCGCATACAGCAATACACACCGGAGCTTACATTACAGAAATACAACATACAGCAGAACACACCACAGCTTACAGCGCGGAAATGCTGCATACAGTAATACAAACCAGCGCTTACAGCGCGGACATACAACATTTAACAGTACAAACCAGCGCTTGCAGCGCGGACATATCACATACAGCAGTACGCGCCAGGTATTACAGCGCGGAAATACAGCATACAGCATTACACACTCCTCAGTGCTGATAGGTATCATAGTGGTGTCAACATACTCGTAACGCAAATCGGGCCTAATTTTATGACATATGACAACTTACAGCCCCTGTCAAGGACAAAGTGACTAACCATGAGTCATATTGTTTAACCACCGTAACTGATGATTGAAGTGTCCTGGAATCTTAACTTCACAATTTCTTTGTTAGACTTAAACTAAACAAACATTTATCAGTTAGTCTTTCCGTCTGATGCTGGTTCGGAGAAGATTATATCTGGTCATGTGAGGGCTGCAGCCAAAGAGGTCTTGTATCAACTGGTAACTAGGTATGGAAAGGTCTTTTTCTGAAGAGGGTTCTTAAAACAAAGGGATCTGAGTATTTCGGGTTACTTTTACTGGTGGGTTTAAATCAAATTCCATTTATAAGCAATTTTATTGGCATGATTTCATTGACACAAGACAAAAAAGAGCCTGTTTATGTCCTCTCCGAAACATAGCAACACAGTAGTACAAGACAACACACATTTAACTAACAGCACCTAAATCATTGAGAAATATATATGTAGACAAGGGAGGCAACTCCTGTATAACCGTGTAATTTTTACTTAAAAACCTTTAATTTTGAATGGTTTATAAAGAATATGTTATCTATCAGAGGATTAGTCTAGATAGAATTCTGTATACTGAAGGTTCTGTGTAAGGGATACCTTGTCTAGACAGGGTTCTGTTTACTGAGGGTTCTTGGTAGTAGAGGTTGTGTCTAGAGAGGGGTCTGTTTACTGAGAGTTCTTGGTAGTAGAGGTTGTGTCTAGAGAGGGGTCTGTTTACTGAGAGTTCTATGTAGTAGAGGTTGTGTCTAGAGAGGGGTATGTTTACTGAGAGTTCTAGGTAGTAGAGGTTGTGTCTAGAGAGGGGTGTGTTTACTGAGAGTTCTTGGTAGTAGAGGTTGTGTCTAGAGAGGGGTCTGTTTACTGAGAGTTCTATGTAGTAGAGGTTGTGTCTAGAGAGGGGTCTGTTTACTGAGAGTTCTATGTAGTAGAGGTTGTGTCTAGACAGGGGTATGTTTACTGAGGGTTCTTGGTAGTAGAGGTTGTGTCTAGAGAGGGGTCTGTTTACTGAGAGTTCTATGTAGTAGAGGTTGTGTCTAGAGAGGGGTATGTTTACTGAGAGTTCTAGGTAGTAGAGGTTGTGTCTAGAGAGGGGTCTGTTTACTGAGAGTTCTTGGTAGTAGAGGTTGTGTCTAGAGAGGGGTCTGTTTACTGAGGGTTCTATGTAGTAGAGGTTGTGTCTAGAGAGGGGTCTGTTTACTGAGAGTTCTTGGTAGTAGAGGTTGTGTCTAGAGAGGGGTCTGTTTACTGAGAGTTCTTGGTAGTAGAGGTTGTGTCTAGAGAGGGGTATGTTTACTGAGGGTTCTAGGTAGTAGAGGTTGTGTCTAGAGAGGGGTCTGTTTACTGAGAGTTCTAGGTAGTAGAGGTTGTGTCTAGAGAGGGGTCTGTTTACTGAGAGTTCTTGGTAGTAGAGGTTGTGTCTAGAGAGGGGTATGTTTACTGAGAGTTCTATGTAGTAGAGGTTGTGTCTAGAGAGGGGTCTGTTTCTGTTTACTGAGAGTTCTAGGTTCTAGGTAGTAGAGGTTGTGTCTAGAGAGGGGTATGTTTACTGAGAGTTCTTGGTAGTAGAGGTTGTGTCTAGAGAGGGGTCTGTTTACTGAGAGTTCTATGTAGTAGAGGTTGTGTCTAGAGAGGGGTCTGTTTACTGAGAGTTCTATGTAGTAGAGGTTGTGTCTAGACAGGGGTATGTTTACTGAGGGTTCTTGGTAGTAGAGGTTGTGTCTAGAGAGGGGTCTGTTTACTGAGAGTTCTATGTAGTAGAGGTTGTGTCTAGAGAGGGGTATGTTTACTGAGAGTTCTAGGTAGTAGAGGTTGTGTCTAGAGAGGGGTCTGTATACTGAGAGTTCTTGGTAGTAGAGGTTGTGTCTAGAGAGGGGTCTGTTTACTGAGGGTTCTATGTAGTAGAGGTTGTGTCTAGAGAGGGGTCTGTTTACTGAGAGTTCTTGGTAGTAGAGGTTGTGTCTAGAGAGGGGTCTGTTTACTGAGAGTTCTTGGTAGTAGAGGTTGTGTCTAGAGAGGGGTATGTTTACTGAGGGTTCTAGGTAGTAGAGGTTGTGTCTAGAGAGGGGTCTGTTTACTGAGAGTTCTTGGTAGTAGAGGTTGTGTCTAGAGAGGGGTCTGTTTACTGAGAGTTCTAGGTAGTAGAGGTTGTGTCTAGAGAGGGGTCTGTTTACTGAGAGTTCTTGGTAGTAGAGGTTGTGTCTAGAGAGGGGTATGTTTACTGAGAGTTCTATGTAGTAGAGGTTGTGTCTAGAGAGGGGTCTGTTTACTGAGAGTTCTATGTAGTAGAGGTTGTGTCTAGAGAGGGGTCTGTTTACTGAGAGTTCTATGTAGTAGAGGTTGTGTCTAGAGAGGGGTCTGTTTACTGAGGGTTCTTGGTAGTAGAGGTTGTGTCTAGAGAGGGGTCTGTTTACTGAGGGTTCTAGGTAGTAGAGGTTGTGTCTAGAGAGGGGTATGTTTACTGAGAGTTCTTGGTAGTAGAGGTTGTGTCTAGAGAGGGGTCTGTTTACTGAGAGTTCTATGTAGTAGAGGTTGCGTATAGAGAGGGGTATGTTTACTGAGAGTTCTAGGTAGTAGAGGTTGTGTCTAGAGAGGGGTCTGTTTACTGAGAGTTCTATGTAGTAGAGGTTGTGTCTAGAGAGGGGTATGTTTACTGAGAGTTCTAGGTAGTAGAGGTTGTGTCTAGAGAGGGGTCTGTTTACTGAGAGTTCTATGTAGTAGAGGTTGTGTCTAGAGAGGGGTCTGTTTACTGAGAGTTCTTGGTAGTAGAGGTTGTGTCTAGAGAGGGGTCTGTTTACTGAGAGTTCTATGTAGTAGAGGTTATGTCTAGAGAGGGGTCTGTTTACTGAGAGTTCTAGGTAGTAGAGGTTGTGTCTAGAGAGGGGTATGTTTACTGAGAGTTCTATGTAGTAGAGGTTGTGTCTAGAGAGGGGTATGTTTACTGAGGGTTCTTGGTAGTAGAGGTTGTGTCTAGAGAGGGGTATGTTTACTGAGAGTTCTTGGTAGTAGAGGTTGTGTCTAGAGAGGGGTATGTTTACTGAGAGTTCTATGTAGTAGAGGTTGTGTCTAGAGAGGGGTATGTTTACTGAGAGTTCTAGGTAGTAGAGGTTATGTCTAGAGAGGGGTCTGTTTACTGAGAGTTCTAGGTAGTAGAGGTTGTGTCTAGAGAGGGGTATGTTTACTGAGAGTTCTAGGTAGTAGAGGTTGTGTCTAGAGAGGGGTATGTTTACTGAGAGTTCTAGGTAGTAGAGGTTATGTCTAGAGAGGGGTCTGTTTACGGAGGGTTCTATGTAGTAGAGGTTATGTCTAGACAGGGTTCTGTTTACTGAGTGTTGTGGGACGTGGAAGTCTGATCTAGAGATGGTACTGTTAATTGAGGGTTATAGGTAGAGGGGCATTGTTCAGAAAGGGTTCAGTTTACAGAGGGTTCTAAATAGTGGAACCCTTGTCTAGAGAGGGGTGTGTTTGTTACAAGTTCGGGGAAGTGGAGGCTTTGTCTAAATAGAGTTAAGCTTATTTAGGGTTCTATGGATGATTCAGTTTACCGAGGGTTGTGGGTAGTGGAGGCCTTGATTAGAAAGGGTTCTGTTTACTGAGGGTTATGGGTAGTGGAGGCCTTGATTAGAAAGGGTTCTGTTTACTGAGGGTTATGGGTAGTGGAGGCCTTGATTAGAAAGGGTTCTGTTTACTGAGG